CGTGCCCGGCGACGCTACCGGTGTTGGTAACGTTGACATGCGCTCGGTAGAGGATTTGCCAGAGCTCCGGGTGTCCACCTTGAACAATGGCAATAGACTCGGAGGGGAAAGCGGCAAGGGACGCGTTGGTCACACTTTCGATGCTCAGATCTGCGTACCCGAAGGTGGTGTACGAGAGACCATAGCCGAACTCGTATCTCGGCGTGATGTTCTTTTGATCAAAAGCACGATAATCGATGTACAGCCCTTCGGTAAAGTTACTTTGCAAGAAAGCAGGGTGCGTAGGATCAACAGTGGAGTTGAGGAGGTGTCCGTAGTCCGACTCGTTGCGTGCGACTGTGTAAGGCAAGCGACCGGAAGGATTTACGTCGCCGTACAAGACGTCGGCGAGGGCGTTTCCACTTTCCTGGCCTGGTACACCGGCGAATAAGACGGCAGTCACGTTGGGGTGCTCGATCCAAGAGTCAACAACGCGGATGCCCGCGCTGTGCAGAACAACGATAGTGTTGCTGCAGTTCGTAGCAACGTTATTGACGAGCTGGTCGCTGAAGTCGTGAGTAAGGCTTGTGCGGTCGAAGCTCTCCGATGCGTAAGCGTTAATGAAGACAAGGCATGCATCAGCGTTGGCGTATACAGTTGGGTTGACACCAAAGAAATCCCAACGCAGGGTACCGCGGTCTGCAATAATGCGATCCTGGATTGCTTTGAAGGGACTGATGACGTAGGGCGGTGTGCTCGAGCCAGAACCTCCTGCTGTGATGAGGGTTCCATTGAGAATTGACCAGCCGAAGTTCTCTTCATATCCGCCTCCGAAGCGGGCAGGATTGTTCCATGGTTGGGCCTTGACTTCGGCATCGTAGCCGTAGATGTTCAGAAAGCGAGGGTTGCGAAGAGGTAGAGTATCGTTGACGTTTTTGACGAGAACAGTGCCGGCAGCTCCGATCTCTCTGATCAACGAGGCATGGTCCTCACGCACGTCGACTATCGGGTGTAGAACGTTGTATGGGTAGACCGCATTCTCGGGGAATTCTTTATCCTGATTCAGATAGAAGTGTGCGGCGAGCAACCTTGTGTTCATGTCATCAAGCCTTTCGGTTGATACCGAGCCGTTCGTCACTGCATCAGTCAGGTTGTTACCCCAGAACTTTGCTACAGGCATGACGACGTCAAGACCGGCGTTGGCCGATCCAACACCAGAGTGCTGTGCATCCCAGTCAGAAACGACAAAGCCCTCGAAACCGAGCTCTGTCTTGAGGATACCGTTAAGCAGCTTGCTGTTCTGGCAGCCGTAACTGTTGTTTGTCCGCTGATACGAACACATAACGGACGCAGCGCCTTCTCTGAGGGAATCCATGAATGGCCATGCGTATAATTCATGGGTCGATCGATCATCCACATTAGATGAGACCGATTCTCCTTCTGAACCAGGCATGCGCCTGTACTCTTGCTCTTGATGAAGCCAATGCTAGAACTCGGTCAGCTGAGCTTATTCTCTTATCACTGAGGGTACAACGCACCTTAGGAGTTGCAATGACACCCTCTGCTTGGGTGCCCCTTGTTATCAGACCCCCACCGACTCCTGCGAGGTATGGGTCTGCTCCTAGACCCTCCCAGTTGCGGCCCCCTCTCGCAACCCGTCCAATTGGGCCAATGAAAGGACCAAGTGCCACGTGTATACCCTTTCCACGGTATTCGCGTCCAATCGCATGCCCGTATCTCAGCATAAGGTCTCGATCGAAAGTGGCTCCAAGATGGATACCAGAAGGAAATGAGGATACAAACTCTTGCCCACGCACGCCAGCTGGAGCGTCTGCGAAGCATAGTTCGGGAATATTCAGACGTGGAACTGCGCCTGTCTGTCCGACACAAGGCCCGGTGACTCCATGAGTGAGGTTTGACTTCTCTTCCAGAGTCAATTGAGCCACAAGGTCTTTAGCTCGAGCATATGCTGCTGCCCATGACGACGAAGTTGACCCATTGCCGCTTGCTAGATCGTAGATTTTAGCGGGGTGAAGGTCTCTCAACTGGCCATCGATATTACTTACGACTGGGGTAGATTGGTGGACTTTGACCGTAGAGAGGTACCTCTGACTGGTTGGTGTAGCCTTGGGAGAGCGACGGATTAGAGAAGAGAGCAATGCTCAGAGCAATAAGGTCAGAGGACTTCATTGTGCTGTTTTCCTTGCCGTTCGCGAGGTTGGAGCCGACATCGTGTCACTGAGCAAATAGTCGATCTTATGTACCCACATGACTGCTCGGATTCCAAGATCACATCATGCCGTGTCCACAACTGCACGATGCATGCGCCCCGTAACGAGCTTGCCGTAGTTCACCCGCACTCCGCATCTTGGCTTAGTGGGAGGGGTAGTGGATGGACGTTGCATTGAACACTGCACAAGAGTCGTTTGCCCAGACGCCATCTGGGGACCTTTGCATGTCGGCACTACTTCCGGGTTGTCAGTCGTGATTTAGTTGACGTCAACCTAGGAACCCTGGCAGCCGTTACCGGCAGGCCTTCGTTGCTTGGGCAGGTTTATCGGAGATGTACGCTATCCGATCATATCATTGCTTTGGAAAGCTTAGCGTTGTGCGAAGCTCCTCTACTTGGCACGACGACAGGCGTGGGTGGCTGGGCGATGCGGTCGATGATGAGCCGACGTCGGTACGAAGCGAATCCGTACCATCGATGCCACAGACGACATGACTTGAACAGCCATCGACTTTGTGAATTCGCCGACACTACTTCACCGTTTCCCTTGTTTTTTCGGAATCAATAACAATATGGAACTGCTGGCTGCTGATGCTGCAGTAGTCGATCTGACTGATATTGCTTTTTAGACCGGCCATGAGCATACGTAATACTAGAAAATATTCAGAGCTGTTGTATGGAAGGTCTTTGAAGATAGGTATGGTGATGAACATAGTATATATTGTGTTGTCGAGCCTACTACCCGAGAAATGCTCGAAGGGTCAGGCTTTCTTTATCAATGCAAGACTGCATTTCTCACACCAGAGCGACATAACGTTGCCTTCCGGACTATCACAAAATTTTCCTCGATATACTTTCGTTACAAGTTGTCTTCAAATGGGTATATTCTTCGTGGTAATTCCTCGGAAATCAAGTAGACATCAGCCTGGGGCATAAGTGGTGATACAAAATCGTCATGACCTAGGCTCTTCCGACCACGCTCAATCGTCCGATCCGTCTTCAGGCAGATTCTGCAGCACATCCTCTACTATGCTGATCAGCTCATCCACATCAGGCCTGTCGCTGGGTTCTAGCATCAAGCATTTCCGTACAACATCCTTCACAGGATCGCTAATGGCCTCGGTATCTGCTGGTTGCTTCTGCTTGCCCCTCTGCGGACCCTCATCTGGGAACCTCCAGTCGCCACCAAGCACGCAAATACTCAGGCTTCCACCCGTCTCGTCACTTCTGGACTCGAATGGTGATTTGCCGACCAGACAGGCGTACAGCGTGCAACCGAGTGACCAGATATCGACCTTTGTATCGATGACCGAGCCGGTCTTCACATCGAACAGTTCTGGAGCGCGGTAGGGCATCGTCGAATGTTCAGCAGCTGTGTCCTGAACTTGCAGGGCAAGTGAGCGGGAGGTGATTGGTGTTGGCGAGGGTGCTAATGACCCGAGATCCATGAGGATGGGCGACTTGCCGTCATCGTCGATCATAATGTTGCCTACACAATCAGTAAGTTGAAAAAACGCATTCAGTCGTCAATACGTACCAGGCTTGATGTCGCGATGCGCATACGCCCGGTCCCCGCCCGGCGCAATACCTTCTTGCGCCATTGTGACATTGCTCTCTTCCAGGAGGCCCTCTGCTTGCTCGTCATCTTCGTCGTCGCCTTCGTGGTGTCTTCTGCTGGGCCGCATCTCCATGCTCTGTGCTGCCTCCGCATCGGCGCGCGCGGCGTCTCTCCTAACCTTCTTGGCCTTGCTGTCGCTCTTCGCGCCGCCTGGCCCTCCCTTGACCTTGTATTGGTGCATAGCCTTGAGCGCTTTGCAAACGCCCAAGAAGAGCACCATCAGCCTCTTTTCAGGGAATTTTGTGTGGTTGACCAGGTTCGCGTTGATCATGTCTTGTAGGTTGCCGCGGCGGTAGTATGGGAGAAGGATGTAGACAGTCTTTGCCGAGGGATCCGACTTGTCTGTCTCGACTGAGTAGTCGATTGAGTGTATGATGTTGGGATGCGGCGAGAACAATGTGTATGCTTCAACCTCCTTCAACGCCAAGCTGACGCTCTCCTGACCGAAGGGACATCGGATCTTCTTGAGCGCAAGAAGTTGCTGATTCGAATTATCTTGTACGAGGTAAACGTATGAAAATCCGCCCTGTAATCGACGTGTCAGTCCAAAGTACAGCAGGTAGGAAGCATAGCATGTTTACCTCGCCTAGCAACCTTAGTATCTTGAAGCTCCGGCTGTTGATCTTGAGCTGTGGAGAGCTCGGAAAGCACACCATGCAATTTGTGAACGAGTAGACCACGTCCATGAAGTAGGTTGCCAGCGATCCCATTGTGCCGGTTGGTAATCGTCAAAGCGGTCGGAAGCCTGGGAAGCTCAATGTGAGCTGCGAGTGCGCATGCAACGTAGCCTAAGTGGACAATTTGCAGCCGCGGTAAGGGGTGAGGGCCTGAGTCTGTGTTACGGGCAAATTGTTAGGCTAGCTGGGCGTGTTTGGGAGAGTGTCTTGTGTTGTTGCTGGCTTGGGCGCAACTGTGTTCGGGAGCTGACGTGTGGTTCGTCCGTGATGCGCCAAGTTGTGGCTGTGCGTCTGGCCCACTACACTAGCAACATGCATCCACACGAAGCTTGCAATGTTCCCTAAAAGATACTGGCTTACTATGCAGATGCTCACGCAAAAGAGGCGTATGGAGCGCTTATTTACGGATTATAGATTACAAATTTTGCCCTCATTCCATCGAATCAAGTAGTCTCGAGCTTCCAATAGGAGACCTAGAAGTTGATTACGTAATCGAGGGCTTGTGGCTCAGTGGTAGAGCGCCCGCTTTGCATCAAGACAGGTCACTTGTGATCCATCGAGTATCAAATTGCGGGAGGTCCAGGTTTCGATCACCTGCCAGTCCACTTTTTTTGCATTTTGATCTTTTTGCTCCGAGCGTTCGCATCAGCTACCTTATCGATTAGCGAGCATTGCGAACGCCAACCACCTGCGTACTGTACTAGATCACATAACTGACCTGTTTTTGAGCGAGTGCTTAAGACACGTAGGCTTTGTGCTCGCTGTGCTTGCCCTTTGGCCGAATCTAATTTGGCCAGTCCTGGCATGCACGGCGGTTCGTGAATAATTGTTATCTATCAATCGCGAGACCTGGACTCATCTTCTGAACAACCCTAACAGACCAAGCCCTCGACCCTCCTCTCCCTGAAGTGGTTCCACTGTCTCTATCGCCCCATTCTGCTTCAACGCCTGAGACGGAGCAAAAGTCGACGTCGATTCAAATGTCTCCCCATAGTTCACCGCAGGATCTCTCAATCCAGGGCTCCTAACCGCCGGACTCTTACCCGGCAACCACAAAATCGGCAAGTCCTTCAACTTCTTCTCGTACGTAAGCGGAATGTCAGCCTCCAGATCCGTCCATCCGCGGTACCCTTCGCCTTCGTATGCGCGTCGTTGCAGCTGCCACACGCCGTCTTGAATCCAGCGGTCGATGCGGGGGCCTAGCGCTCGTCGGAATCTGGTCAGGTAGATCATGATGCGCAGTATTGTGATGTCGAGAAGGGCGACGAAGAGGGAGAAGGCTATTATGAAGGAGAGGCCGAAGACGTTGATGTTCCTGGGACGGTTAGGTCAGTCCGGTGTTGTAGGTCAAAGCAGGCGTTGGGACTTACACGACATCGCCGGACTTCAGCATCTTTTGCATGCCGCAAAGTTGTTTTTCGAACTCATTTCCCGGGGTGATGTGCACGCCTGCTGCTGTGTCTCTGTTCTCTGGCCCGATGGCATAGTCCAAAAAGGCGACTTGAAGGGACGCTAGGATCTGCTTCTCCCAACGCGTCAATTCGCGTACCCATTGGTCATCTGGCAGACCCTCATCTCTACTGGGATTCTCGAGTGACCCAGCTAGGAGGTCTGTGGGTACTGTTGCCATGTTGAAAACATAGGATGATGTTGCGAGTAATCTGAGGATTGTGCGTTGTATACCGTTTGCACCCGGGAACATGCTGAAGTCGATGTTTGCAGGGAGTGGCAGGTTTCCAAGGTAAACGCTAAGAGGAAGCTCGTTCAGATCCGTGCAGTAGTCTTCTTTGCCCGGTCGTGCATAGCAGAATTGATACTAGGTCGAGTCAACTCAGACTCATGTACCAAGAAGCGTGAAACTCACCTGATCCTGACAGCCCATGAACTGGCCTTCGTGGTTGGAGATGAACACTGGCTTTGATACGAGCTCGCCTCCAGCGTTGACGAAAGTGGCATCGATAGGCTGCGTAGCATTGAAGAACGGGTCATTTACTGGATTGTTGTAGGAAACCGAATTGGAACCCACGTAGATGAGGACCAAAGTACTGTTTTCGCGCTTGAGTTCCGGAATTGGAGAGAAGCTGGACGCGACAGGTGCTTTGGGGTTGCTGTAGTTATAGAAAGTACTACAATGGTTTTAGCAGGAGACAGGAGAATCAAATGACTAGACCTACTGCAGGGCGTAATCCTTCAAATAATACGCCTCGTTCAAATCAAGAGCAAACGTAGTGTTCGGAGTCCCATACGGAAACTTTGTGCCATACTGAAATTTCAGGGACCGCGGTGTTGTCGAGACGTTGCCGGTGGGTTGGCCACTTGGACCAAGGCTGTCGAGTACACCTTGGACATAGGGTCGCTTGAAAGCAAGAATACCGCATGTCGTCTTCTTGCGGAACTGCACTCGGTCGGAGGAAGATAGATCGAGACCGAAAGCGGGACCAACGTCGATTAGTCCGGTGTCGAACTCGATACCATGAGTGTCCTGGCAGACCTCTTTACCAAGAGGACATGGTACGTGTCGCGTCTGGAAAGGTAGTTCGCGTTGTACAAGGACATTGCATGCAGCGGGGAGTGTCCCGTTGATGGTTGTTGCATTGTAACACTGACTGGCATAAGGCGTGGATGCAGCCTTAACAGGATAGACGTACTCTCCAGCGAAGATGCGCTGAGTGGAAGCCCATCCACAATCTAGGCTGTCAACCAGAACAACAAGGTTTCTGGAATCAACGACGAGCGATGAGAAGACACTAGCAGCTCCACTGAACGCTACAAACAGTAAAGCCGCAAGCAGAAGGACGAGTGACCGTAAGAGAGGGCGCTTGGCTTTGCTTCTCCAAGCCCACCACAATTTGATTGTGTCGGTCATCACAGCACTCGGAGCCGGTAATGTTCGTAACAGGGTCTGTTGCTGGCGGAACAAAGCGTCTGTTGACTGCCCATTGGCGCGCAGCTGGTGTATCATGAATGTGACGAGATGCCAAAGATGAGCGGTACCTGAGCTCCGTTAGCTTAGCTTCCAACAAAGTGCTGGGTGTTGGTACCTATGGTCGAAAGTACTGCCAGCAAGGCGACCAGCAAGTTACCAGTTCTTGTGTCAATGGTAATGGTCTGCCCCATCACAGAACCTCGAGAGAGGTCTGTCCTAAACAATGTTCAACATGGCTATCAGCCCACAACAGAAACACTTGACCTACCATACTCCTCGCTTGACGAACCTCGACTCAAGTTCCAGGGACATGATTGCAAAGTTGTTTCGCTCGCTACCTGCACGAATTCGGGCGTGCACAACGTACCTATGGGCCATTCACAGCTTTAACGACTACACATTCCCACTAGCAAATGCGGCACAGCAGTTGCAACTTCACTTTACTTTTCATGGGGGCGGCACAGCAGCTCTGCATATTGACTTTCTTGTAGTATGACGAATGAGGTGCCGTGAACTTGACAGAAGGCGCCGAAAAATCCTCATAACGCAGAGTCGGCGCCATGGCAGAGGATCGTCGAGACAGAGGATCTCAAAACTGCTCGATACAGTCCAAGTCTTCGCTCAATATAGCACAAGAACATGCCGGTTGGCGGCTATGTGTAACGGAAGCGCTGGGTTGGCGCTTAGCTGCAGGTACACGCGCCGCACCGGTAGCTTTCATCCGAGGCACTGTTGGAGTAAAGCCGTATATAAGATTTGATCACGTTCCGTCCCAGACGCAATACCACAGCTGTTTGTTGGGGATGTGCCGATATCGATGCTTGCGAGGTGTTGATAACAGCTATATACGGCGATGACATGGCTAGGAGCGAGCCATCCGGCGCTAGCTTATCCTTGTCCCTGGAAGCTTTCTACTGCAAACATTCTTTACAACTTCAGATAGAATGGTGCAGAGGTACCTGGATTGCTTCTACACTCTCCTCTATCTTTGCGACTATTCAAGAGTTATGGCATTCCAAAGCCCTCTTCCTTGGATTGGACAACATTCAAGGATCCTGAAAAGCGAGCGGTCATCGAAACTCCACGCCGTCTGATCACCACCAGCACCGGAGAGAAGGCAAAAAGCCGCAAGGACCCGGCGTGGAGCCTCATGCTATAGTGCCCAGGCTTTCGTGTCTTATGGCAGTGGGCCGCGTGTTCGTGCGATGCCTTGGCACTTTATTGATGAAGTATCTGCCGTGCCAGTGGGGCGCAGACGTGCAAAGCGGAGAAGAAGTCAAATGTACTGGGATGTTGAAATACACGAGTGTCTGAGATCCCACCGCGGGCAATTGCACGCGAGATCGCGTCTGCAGACATGCGAAAGTCGATAAGTCTGGTTCTGGCCCCGATCAACATCGTGTTGAGTTGGCTGTGAAGATCACTTTGGACGATCGCAATCACCGGAGACGGGCCTGCAAATCTTGATGTGGTTTGTTTGTTCATTCGATGATATCTATTACGGTCTGAAGGACAGGGCCCGTTGAGATGCATGCACTGCATCTCGTTCATCTAATCATGCAACTTCTGTAGTCAATGCATATGCGAAACAAGTATCAACATCCGAATATTAATTTTCCACCACATGCCTTCGAACAAGGAAATATTGAAAATGTGAGAGACAACTGCGCCGTGCTCAATGGTATTATTAGGCAACTTCGACGTAAGGAGACGCTGAAGACATACTTTTTCGGACCGTTCTTAACTGCTTAACGACAAAGGGTATCATGTCAAACGCTGTAGGTATATGCCGCTCTAAAACCTCAGAGGCGAGTCGTCAGAAACGACGACCCACCTCTCAAGGTCGCCGTTGTTGACCTTCTGGGCAGCGCGGGCGGCGGGGCTGCCGCTGCGCTCAGGAACAACGTAGTTCTTGACAAGGCGGGCGGCGGCGCTGCCGTTGACACCGTTGCTGAGAAGCAGGTTGGCGCTGCCGCCAAGGCTGCCGGAAACCTTGCTGGTGCGGGCAGTCTCGAGGAGCTTCTTCTTCAGCGCAGCGGGGTTCTGGCCAAGGCCGGTGGGGTCGGCAGCGATGAGCGTTGCCATGACACCGGTCGTGTGGGGGCATGCCATGGAGGTGCCGGAGAGGAAGTTGATGATGTTGTCACCGGTGCTCCACGAGCTGAGGATTTGCTCGCCAGGTGCGTAGATGTCGACGCACTTGCCGATGTTAGAGAAAGTGGAGACCTCGTTGTCGATGTTGACGGAGCCGACAGTGACAACGTTTGAGTTGCTTCCACCGAGGTGAGCGGGAGTAGAACCGCAAGCATCAATGCCATCGTTACCGGCAGCAACGGAAACGTGGATACCAGCTTCACTAGCAGTGGCAATGACCTCGTCGACAGATTGAGCAGTTCCCTGAAGACCCCATGACATGCTCATGATGGAGCCAACGAAGCCGGGCTGGGTCTTGCGCTTCTGGTGGTTGGTGATGACCCAATCCATACCAGAAATGGTGTCAGACGAGGAGCCAGAGCCATCGTCGCCAAGGACTTTGACAGCGATGATGTTGGCACCCTGAGCTACGCCAAACTTGGCACCACCAGCAGTACCAGCAACGTGAGTGCCGTGGCCGTCACCGTCGACAGATGATCCGGTAGCGGAGAAACCCTGGGTGCCGCGGCCGGTGAAGACGGCGTG